AACAATTACCCTGACAAAGTTTAAATTATGGACTAAACCAACACTAGACTCTCTGGAAACCCAGCTTATTAGGGGCCTGAGCAGGAGAGGTTTTTATTAGTAGGGTCTCCCGTAGGTTCCCTTCATACGGCCGTACTTAAAAATTGCATTCCAGCGGAAGCAGCAAAAGTAGAGCCGTAGCCGTAGCAGTAGCGATAGCCGCAGTACTAGCAGCGGCAGCAGTCGTAAGTAGTAGCAGTAGTAGTAGTAGTAGTAGCGAAAGAAGTAGTAGTCGTAGTAGTAGTAGTAGTAGTGGTGGTAGTAGTAGTAGGAACAGTAGTTGTAGTAGTAGCAGAAGTAGTAGTGTACTAGTAGTAGTAGTAGTAGTAGTAGTAGTAGTAGTAGTAGTAGTAGCGATAGTAGTAGCCGTAGTAGTAGTGGTGGTAGTAGTAGAAGCAGGGGTTGTAGTAGTAGCAGTAGTAGCAACAGTAGTTGTACTAGTAGCAGTAGTAGTAGTAGTAGTAGCGATAGTAGTATAGTAGTAGCAGCAGTAGTAGTCTCCATGGCATGGGGGGGGGGGGGGTGAGGCGGGGCGTTGGTGCGGGGATACACTTGTATACTTGCTACGCCAGACAACGGGAACACGGGTTCCACTGCACAACCGGCTACGATAGGGCCTTGCTTAGAATCACTTTGAAGAAGCAGGGCCTAATTCAACCACTGAAAGTCTGCCCGCAGCCCGGAGCATTGGTTGTGCTTTTTCAACCCTATCTGCAACGTGCGCCTGGCCCGCAGAAGACTTGGCTCATTGGTTTAAGTGGTTCGATGAAATCCGATGAAAAAAACCGTTCTACTCATCCAAGACTCTCAGAACATACACTTGTCCATGCCGCCAAACACAGCCATCCTCATTCACAACGAAAGCATGAAGGCACAAGCCGAGATGCATGACATGCAATGCATTGGTTGCTTTCTGTGCTAACCGCTGCAACGCAAACAAGCAAGCATCATATCACAGTCACAACGCGCATCGCAATCCTTTGGTGGCAGGTCAAAAGGACATCACATCGGAGGACACACCGCCTGTAAGATTGGCGGTGTGTGCAAGAGTCTACCTGCCACTTAAGGACCTGCGCTTCTTCGGGTCAACATGGTCAACCTCAACTGGTGAGGACGCAGGTCAGTACCCTACACAGGGATCCTTACATTATACACCTGAACAGTGCCTTGTAAATGGTGGTTTCGCTGTATTTTGGTGGAACCAGTCATGTTTCAAATGGGCAAAATGTATCTTTTAAGGAGCCCTGCTACAGGAAATGTGAATGCCAACTGGAGCAATAGCCCTGCCTCAAACTCTTCGCGGCTGAATGGGCAGCCCTGCAGCAGTTGCAGGACGGACTCATCACCTGAAGGACACTTGCGGGTGACTTCTGAATGCAACATGTATAATATATATATATATATATATTGGCAAGTAATCATAGTGTTCCAGTCCAAACACCTGCAATAAGAACCCCCAAGTAAGGAGCCTTCATCATTGGAAAGGTGGCAGCTCCCTTTGTGCGAGCACCATGGTTTGCCCACATATCAGTCTATCCAAGTCCAAGGAAATAAGACTTGATGGCAGGGCTACTCCATAGTCCGCTAGAGCGTTCATAAACTCCGTGTCGCAAGTTGAATGATGAGTTGAACACGATCCTTGCAACAGCTTCCTGAAGCAATGGAAGGACTATGTTGCCAACAAAGGGCTGAGCCAATCTTAGCCCAATCCGCCAAACAGCGCACTTGCTTGAGGTATTTATCTCACTGGTTCAAGAGACCACGCAAAATAATGTACCATGACAAAATGCGGCCCAAACCTTAGGATATCCAAAGGCTTGCTTTGCGCATGCCAACACAACACATGTAGTCCCGGGTGCCCGAAATCCCGCACGGACCCTTGCGCAGAGATCAACGCCTTCCTATGCCTTCCTGTCGATTGACCGTCAGGCGTCGCCATCCCCATGACAAGCGTCAGCAACTTGAGGAATTAATATGATATAAATGCCAGCCTATATACATCCAGCATCTGAACGGTTCGGTGCATGTTCACCTTTTCGGGAGCAAACAGAAGCCATGAACATTCTTCGATTCACGGAACAAGTTCATGCTGCATGCTAGCCAGCGAACACCAGGGCGAGACAACACCATTGAGGAAAGGGGCAGCGGGCTCTTGAAAGCAAACTGGCTTTCGCAGAGTCAAAATCAGGTCCCGTCTTCGCGCCTACTTTACAGTGATTCAGATTGTGGTTGCCCATCATCTTGGGGTATGGCCAGACTCCCCTGCCAATTTCATGGTTGTCAAGCGCCCTCGGCTAGTAGCACCCAATTAATAGGGCCTGATGAAGCCTGATAAGGTCTGTCATAGGACTTCTTCGGCGGTTCGGCACTGTTGGCAACCATGGGAGGCTTCTTGCCTGAGAGAGCTGCCATCAACGCTTAAGTCGGTGTGTTTGTCTCAAAATAAGAAACCTCGCAAGATTGTGGCTTCCGGTTTGTTTTTCGTAATCAAAGCGCTGGGGTCCCCTGGGTTCGAAGGAACGGAGGGAACTCTCGTGACCCACATATCCTGCTGACAAAGTTCCTTGTGTGGGCTATGGCAACCAAAACGGCGGGGGCAAATTTTCAGGTATCCTCGAAAACACGCACACACACACACACACCCACGTCTTGCCAAGGCAAAAAGGAGGAGGTGGTGCAAACAGTGCGTCTTTTGCCGCGCCACTCACCGCTTTGCCAAGGCGCAAACCGCCAGCTTCTCAAGGAGTTTCAGATACCAGGCAGGCGGATCTTGGCCGCGCCTTGTGAGCGATTTTTGTCGCGTTCGCGTTTGGCCAAAGGATAACAACTCCCAGTGCCACACCAAGTGAAGAGGAGTCCTTAGATCTTCCATCTGAACAATATCCCCCTCAAGTGGTGGATTGGTGTTGGCTTTGGTGAAAAAGGTCATTATTCGATTGGCCAAGTCGTATCTTAGCCCTGGCGAACCTGTGAACCTGCACTCCTTGTTTCCTGTTGATTAGCTGTGGACCTGTGGCGTATGGGACTGGTACTGCGAATTGTTGAGGCAAAAGGTCAAAAGGCGGTTTGCGTTTGTATACATGTTTGTTTCATACAAGCTGAACCATGAGTGACTTACATTGTTTCGGAGGGGTTTTGAATTGTTGGATGGGTAGCTTGGACTTACCGATTGGTCTTCTGAACACCTGGCTTGGACAAGGGATGCGATTAGATGGCTGTGTTTCAAAATTAGCCACGTACCAGTTTCAGCTGGCTCGTATTTGCAACCATCTCCCAACGGCACACCTGCACACCAGCTGAGACTGGTTTTCTGGATCGCTGGCTGGGAGAAAAAAACGGGTTTTTCAGTATCACGTTAGCAGTAGGAGTCAACAAGCAAGCCAACGACCCAAATCAAATTCGGCAGGGTGGCGAGCACCGTCGAAAGAGGGTTCCATTGTTAATAGCTTAAGCCCAGGAGGTCAAATCGGAAGAAAAAACCCTCCCTGTACAGAAGTTAAATATATTCTTGAAATTGCCTGTGAAATTGCATCCCCAAATCCTCGGAATCCTTTTTACACTGATGGACTGTGCGAGGAATTGGCAATGCATCTAGCCGCGAAGCAAGCAGCACTGCCAGCGCGGCAATGTTGGGCATACACGTGCAAGCATTCCAAGCAACGTGGGCAAAGTAAGAGATCCAGCCTTGTCCCAGCTTGTCAAACAGTCATGCAGTCATTTGAAGGGCCAAACCTGGGCAGCGCTACCTACATTCTAAAACAAAACACCTGTTCATTATAAATACACTATCTTGTATATGCATAATATGCATAATATATATATATATATATGAATATACGTGTATATATATATATATATATATACTTATATATATATATACACATACATGTATGATATCTATATATGTGTCATGTATACGATATATGTTTCCTCCAAACAACCACAGCGTATCTCCCCAGCCCCAGCCTGGCCGCCAAGGGAAGGAACCAAACTCGCCAGTCCAGGCGCGGAAGGTGCAGCCACAAGACCACCCCGCGCCTATGAAAATCCAAAACTGCCGTGTTGGGACTCGGATTTCGTCTTTCGGAATGAAAATCGGGGGGTACGAACCGCTCTCAGGGGGAGAAAACGCTGAAAGTGTGTTTAACAAGCAGAATTTAAACGATTCGCATGACTAAGGAGCATGAGCTGTCTTTTCGGATGAGGTGAAACCTTGTCTTGTCTGTCCGCATGAGTCAACTCGAGTCGGGGCACTGCACATGACGTGCGCTCACATTTGTATCAGTGTGGGAGTGAAACCTTGGGGGGATGAACCGCTCTCAGGGGAAAAGCTGGACGTTTGTTTTTGTGGCGGATTTTTTGCAATTCACATGACTAAGGAGCATGAGCTAGGTGTCCTAGAAGTAGGCAGGAACTGGCTTTGCAACAAATATGTTTTTGTATATAATGTGTACATGTATATATCCTGGCAAGATTGAACGTGTTTGACATGACAAATCAAGAGCATGTATATATAATATATCCCATTGAACAATATGACATTTGCATCATACATTGTGATTGATGATGGCCTGAAGAAACGACACGTGCCGTTAGGATACTGTTAGGATTGTATTATCTAAAAACCGTCACTCAAATACCGTCAACAAAGAATAGCTGCCTCACACAGAAATGGCCTCACGCAGGGCCAACACCCGATATTTGTTCGAGACTCCACCCCGCATGAAAACAGCCTTTCCAAAGCAGCGTCCATCCAACGGCTTTCAGGAATCAGTTCAGCACTGGTGCTGCAAAGTATTTTGACAAGTGAAGTCAAGGGCCTCTGACGTGGCTGCGCATCCGACCGTGATTGCGGCCAATTGGACGGTCCTGGGTACAACCTATGCTTTGGCCCTTCCAACGTGTTTGTCAGCTGAGACTGTGACCAAAAACTGTGACCCGATTTACCCTAGAAGGCTTACTTACAAGTCATGGTAACCTCACCTTGCACCAATCTAGTCCTGCGAATTAATTCCATTCAAGAGTCCAAGTCAAGATCCATTTGCTTTTGTCGTCCGCTGAAAAGAACAAAAACACAAAACCCACTACTAATGCTAACGCTGGAGCTTGAGCGAGCCGATAACCCCGCCATAAAACGCACGCCAAGGCACTCGCGTGGGCCCTGGTTCAGCTTGTAGCGCCACCGAATCTGCTGCCAGTGGACCCCGTCCAAGGACGCGGATAAGATGGGCTCCCAGCGGAAGTCATGCATGCCCGAGAACTTGCCTGCAGCTCGATGCAGAAACCAACTCCCCGATTCCGAACATTGGAATGACTAAGCTTCAGAACCGCCATTCTTCACCTAGGAAGCTGCTGGGGTTGAAGTTTGGGGAGACCCTGGAAGAGGCAGAAGTTTTGATGTCAAAATCTGTGCGTCCAGTCAAGTTCATGGGCACCGTGGGACTCGAGCCAACCTGACGTGGCGCAACCCACGGGCCCTTGACTAAAAGCCGAGACTGAGACACATGGCGTTTTGCAAGCCCTAGCCGGAAATTTAGCTGCCCCAAACCGTTGATTCCCGGAAAGAAAAGGAGATCCTTGGCAGTCCGGGGCCTCTCTATCTGGTGAACTTCCGGCCTTGGTAGTTCACCAGCTTCCAAGGGTGCTGCCTCAGCGTGCCCCGGAGCCCTTTGGACCTTTTCTTTCCGACACATCATGCAGATCATTTTTTAGATGGATCTCCTTTAAGACCCCCCGTTTTCGAACCACCGCACAGCATACCTTTGAGCATAGCCTGAAACCTGAATCAAGAGAATCCTCACCAATGGAAGGGTTGGAGTATGCTGAAAAGGTGTTTCGGAGGGCATTGGATCTCAATCTCCGACTCCATAAGCATCCTGCCTCCAAATGCAGGTTTCAGAAGCCTGGACAGCATCCTGCAGTTCTGGATGAAACTCCACAACAAGTGGAATAAACCACCAACCAACTGGCTAACTGGTGCCTGGATGTCGTGGATTCCGTCCATAAGTCATAACTCGGTTGCTTTCTGCTTCCCTGCTAAAAGTTTAACTGTTAGTGGTTTAATACGGAAAACCGATTAAATGGCAAAAAGTGAAAGTCCTAACATCCAAGTCATACTGGCCTCATTATTTCACCATGATCAAAGTCACCCCCTAAGTGGTGGGTTAAAGGGAAACAACCACATTTCCTGACTTTGATAACCCCAGAAACCATCAAAATAATGACCCCAGTCATACGTTCATCGCCATTCTCGCGTTGCGCCCCGTTGGGCCCCGACCACTTCTCCAGGTTCTCCAGGCTGCGGCAAAGGCTCCGCGGCAGCAGCGCCGCCAAATCCACCGCGCCCTTGCCTGGAGGAACCCCCGCGAAAACGGCGGGAAGGACTCCTTCCTCGTCTGATTTGAGTTCATTTTCAGTATCCAACGTGGCTCCCATTGAGACAAGGAGCCGAAGCAACCTCAAAAGGCGGACTGGGCCTTGACAAAATTGGTCTTGACAAAATGGAGGGTCACTGTCAGGAGCCCTTGAAAGGTGCCACGACGTAACATGAGGCCTAGGGCCCCTTTCAACAAACAAATCCCCAGCGTGCTCAGGAGTGATTGCCCCACCCACGCAAGTGGGTACCTTGGTCAAGCGGCTGGCACGCGCCAGGGGCAAGAGCGACAGAATCACGTAGAGGCCCGCAGCCACTGCCGCCTGCGCAAGCGGATAATTTTCCATCAGCTGCACGTTGCTCTCACTCGGGTCTAGGGACTTTCTCGCCTAAGTGGATTGGCCAAAATCCTCACTGGCCAGAGTTGCAGGCGTGGAAGTTGATGTCGTCTTTGAAGAGGGTGCTCGAAGTGAGCGCTGGCAGTTTTAGGGTATAAGAATAAGATCTCCATTGTCAACACCGGAGCAAGAATGCTTACTTCGTGCCATCCCTAAACCAAGAAAGCAAGTGTGTTGACTGAACGTTGCGATCTTTGGCTTCAGCCCTGCATCTGTAAGCCATCCAAAGATTCATGCACGCCATGGGAACCAGTTGCTGACCCCTGGTCCCAGTTGCTGAGTGACTCTGGCAAAACAGAACTCGTTTGCTGGGGTGATAATTTTAGTGGGGACCCCACCAAACTAAAGGGGTCACAATGAGTGCCACTGAACGACTGGGTGAATAGAAAGGTGGTGCAACCCTGTTCAGAGTGGATCAGAATCGCCTTTGGGGAAGGAACCTGGTCAACTATTCTGCGGTTCACAGCTGATGGCTCCTCTCATGGGCCTCGTTAGCTGTCCAGCTCGCGCAGCCGTGCAACAAAGCGTCATCGCGTCATTACCTCCCTGCGCACTTGGACAGCTGACTTTGAGTCAAATCCGGTGGGAATACCAAATACTGCATGCACCAATGCTGGCGAAGCAATCTTTTTCAATGGACATAGTATTGCAAGGTTTCATCAACTCCTTTCACAAAGGCAAATATAAGGGACCCTTCTCATAAGTGTCTCAAGCACAGCGGCACCCGACCCCCATTCAAGATCGCTCCGTGTGTCTAAACGATCAAAACCAGGGCTAGGAAATTGGTTGAACTTCCTACGGTTTCCCTTTTTCTACCGGCAGCTGAACATGAAACCCAAAAAAAACATAATTTGTAGAGGAATCCGTTCCATGCGAATTTGCAGGGGAGTACCCTTGTGCCGCAGTCTTTGGCGCACCCCTGCCCTCTCCCCCGCCAGCATCCGCAGCGGCAGCGGGACCAGTGGGACCCGCAGGTCTGTCGCCGCAGCAGGGATTCCCAGCCATTCGTAGAAGCGCCCGTCCAGTAGCGACAAGTTCTCCATGGTGTTCAGGAATCCTTCCGGTTTGGTTGGGGGGTGGGGCCGGTGGGGGCACCTTGATTTTCCAACAAGCGTTGTGGCCTCCATGTTACCTTGCGGCTGGGCCAAACAAACAGGTTGGGTTTAACATTCTTTGTTTGTCCAAACGCGGGACACAGCCCTGGACAATTCTAAACATGTTCGGAAAGAAACCCTTTCTGCGATGCAGGCCGAATCGATTCCACCCTTTGTTCTTATCTTCTCTCAGAAATGGGCGAGAACCCTGGGACAGACTTTGACCCCCAGGTCATCAACGAACAGCCAAAAGCGCAAAGCAAAAGGTGAGACACTGAGGAGAAACCAGCCCGCCGGAACATTGCAAATACCCTGGCGTTGGAGATTCGATGATATTTGCATGCAAAAGGTGATTTTCAATTCACGAGAACCGGCCGCTCGGGCCCAACGGGCCCAACGGGCCCAACGGGCCCGACGGGCCCAACGGGCCTGACGGGCCTGACGGGCCTGACAGGCCTGTCGGGCTTGGCGGGCTTGGAGGGCCTGACGGGCCCAACGGCTTCAGGGTCTTCACGGGTTTGGGTTTGACGGGCACGATGGGCCTGACGGGACAACGTTCTCGACGGGCAAGATTGATCCTTAGAAAACTAGACAGATAGATACAACAATAGACAGATGGTTCGAAAGACGAGTGATGGATACTAGATAGATAGATAGATAGATAGATAGATAGATAGATAGATAGATAGATAGATAGATAGATAGATAGATAGATAGATAGATAGATAGATAGATAGATAGATAGATAGATAGATAGATAGATAGATAGATAGATAGATAGATAGATAGATAGATAGATAGATAGATAGATAGATAGATAGATAGATAGATAGATAGATAGATAGATAGATAGATAGATAGATAGATAGATAGATAGATAGATAGATAGATAGATAGATAGATAGATAGATTAGATCGATCGATCACTAAATAGATAGACAACTAAATACATAGATAGATAGCGCGCTAGATAGATAGATATATTGATAGATAGATAGATAGATAGATAGATAGATAGATAGATAGATAGATAGATCGATAGATAGATAGATAGATAGATAGATAGATAGATTAGATTAGATTAGATTAGATTAGATTAGATTAGATTAGATTAGATTAGATTAGATTAGATTAGATTAGATTAGATTATACTAGATAGATAGATAGATAGATAGATAGATAGATAGATAGATAGATAGATAGATAGATAGATAGATTAGATACATAGATAGATAGATAGATAGATAGATAGATAGATAGATAGATAGATAGATAGATAGATAGATTAGATCGATCGATCGATCCATCGATAGCTAGCTAGATAGATAGATATATAGATAGACAGATAGATAGATAGATAGATAGATAGATAGATAGATAGATAGATAGATAGACAGATAGATAGATAGATAGATAGATAGATAGATAGATAGATAGATAGATAGATATAGATAGATAGATAGATGGATACATAGATAGATAGATAGATAGATAGATATATAGATAGACAGATAGATAGATAGATAGATAGATAGATAGATAGATAGATAGATAGATAGATAGATATCGTAAGATAGATGGATACATATGGATACATAGATAGATAGGTAGGTAGATAGACATATATATATATATATATAGTTATATATAAAGGTAGACTTAGACCGATCGATAGATAGATAGATAGACAGATAGACAGATAGATAGATAGATAGATAGATAGATAAGGTAAATAACTGGATGGGATTTGCGTACCTTGGATAGATTGTAGAGAGACAAATAGGTATATGGACAGAGACGGATAGATGAAACTGACATAGATGGGTACAAGAAAAATACAGACAGAAAGAGAGATGGGTAAATAGATGGACAGACAGATAGGTAGACCGATACATACATAGAGAGATACGCAGATAAATCGGTAGTAGATAGAAGGATAGCAAGATAGAAACAAAGGCAATAGAGAGATAGATCGATTGGATTACATTAGAACAGACCATTAGATAAGCAGATAAGCAAATGGCCGAGAACCCAAAGCACATAGACCCCCTGCTTGAGCATGGATGTGCTTTGGCCTCGCCTTTCGAAGCCACCTCACGCGGAGTCGCGACCCCGCCCGGCCGCCTATGAAACCGTAGTTGCCTGTGGAGTTGATCATCGCGTTCATGGCATTGAAACCTGCAGCCGACGAACCCCTTGGCAACCACTTCCCCTTGACTACAAATACCCCACCACCCCAACAAAAACTCACTAGGGTGCATTTATCTATGGGAACAAATATTGCGCTGTTGAAACCAATCCTTGAGTGTTGCAACCGCACCCGTTCAGGAGACTTCAGGGAAGGCACGACCATTCGCCATGGGCCTAGTCAAAAACAAACCACCGGCAGCAATCAGCAAAGCCCTCTTGGTCTTTGGATGCTTTCACGTTCCTTTGGGCTTGTCTCCTAACTTGCCCCCACAAGCTTGGTCTCTTTGAAGCAGCCTCACATGTATTTATCCTCAATGTTTAAAGGCCATACTCAAGAACATATCGGGCACCAACCGGCACCAACATGTCATTCAACATTTCATATTCTATAATATTGGCCCTGCCTATATGTCAAATATGCCCTCATGATGGCCCCTGCCTGTAAACAAAAAACAACACCTCTTGCACGTCCTACCCGGCAAGGTGGAGAACGTGTCTTTTTGGACGTTCCATACGCCTCACGCGGACGCCTGTCCGCGCCTACCCATGCGAGGAGTCGACAAGGCCGGGGACCCCAAATGAAGAAGGGCAGAACCACCTCCACCTAAGCCAAATCAGCAAATTCGGGATTTGGACACCCAAAAACTGCGAGTTCGTGTTTTCCCTTTGGTTTCCCTTTGAACCAATCTAACAATGGCACCAACAAAATCACAAACACACACACACTCACAGAGCACAGGTCGAGCTCAAAGCAACTCCAGATGTGGGGAAAAGCCAGGGACCTGTCCGGCCGCGAGCGGCTCTTCGATGCAAAAGGTTGGATGCCCGGTGTTCGGGACCGGAAAGCTTTCCGCAGAGTTGCCCAAAAGTTTTTTTTGAAGTCTGGGCCCGGGAACTGGCCATTGCTAATGTTTGTGCGCTGTGAAGCTACATGCGCATTTGTGGAATAGCGCTTCATGGGCCTTGCTGAAGTGCATATTTTGCCCGTGCTTGTAGGTGGTTTCTGGAAGACGTTCGATAAGCACCAGAGAAGAAGCCAATTAGACTTGTTATGCCCTATTAGGCTCTATCAACCCATACCAGGATTGGGGAAGTCTTCGTGGGGGGCCTTGACAACGATGCACGGTATAAGCAACATGTAAATATGTGTACCGCAGATTTATGTTGATCCCGTATCTCCATCATCAGAACCATCAGTAAGCGCATTGTTGCTGCCACATGTATCCCTGAAGCATAGTGTGCGTCTGTCAGGGCGGGGTGCACATGTAGAAACAGATCAAACCAGCGTCTTCAACCCTGGCCCCATGTCAACGTGAATGTGTATGTACGTATATCTATAATATATATATATATATATGTATGTTTATGTTTATGTACTGCAAAAATAAATATGTGAAAATACATGCAAACCTACTATACACAACCGACAGCAATAGTATGTATGACCTTTGCCACACAGGAACATGGACAACTTTGCGATGCTGAAAATGCTTCGACCACCAATAAAGTTAAAGTGGTGGATTTGTTGTCAAGGTGTAAAATGGTAAACTCAAAAGAGACACCACCGCTGTTCACTCTTGAACCCCTACACCTTCCCTCAACCCACCCGCCCGGTTGAACAAACACCGGGCGGCGACGAGGGTGGCCAGCACAGAGAAGCGGTGGAAGTCCGCGGGGAGCGCATGAGCCCAGCGGGACCGAGGGTTCACCAAGGGCCTCGGCGCGAAGCTTGAGTACTCAAAGCGGTCTACCCAAGCCAAGTGAAGTATTATTCGACGGCCGCACCTATTTCTGGCCAAGCCTGTCAACTACCCTTCATCTACCCGAGTTTTGAGTGTGGCTCTCTTGGGGTTGGGGGGCCAGGAATTCGAGTTTGTGTTGCGGCAACACTAATGCAATACCCCGATGCAGGCAGTTGCGACATAGACCAAATTGTCCAATGTCCGCCATACAAGAAATTATGGCATCCCTCTAGATCGGCTTATCTCCCCAATCTGAACTGAACATGTCAGGGACTCGGATGAGGCCGCTGATAAAGCACCGATCAGCGAGCTCATCCAGTCAGGGGGTGTGTTGCAACGGTTTTGCACTCACCCGGTTGCTGTGACAATCGTTCAACGCGCACATCTGGCCCAGTTAATTGACAGTCCCATCATGGCTGAGATCCCCTGGAGTCTTGAAAGGGACCTGCTTAAAATCAGCTGATCTGGCCTGAATTGGAGAAAAAATGCCGCGTCAGGGGGCTTGGATGGGCTCACTGACGCCCACTAAACAAACTGCATGCAATGGGCCTACGTCTACATGGCCGTTGATCTAAATTCCTTGTTCCTGGAACGGCCATTCTTCGCGAAAAAAAATTTCTCTTTCGCGAAACTTTCGCGACCCTCATCGCGCAGCTACCCTTACGAGAACCACCCCTTTCACAAGTAGAAACTGGAACTGCGAAAGCCGAAGAATGTCCAGGACTACGAACACGATGTTATTGGTGGCGCCGATAATCATACCCATGCCCTGCCGGCAGGTTTGTTGCATAGAACATCGTAAGGCAACCGCCCCCCTTAAGTTTGCCCCAGCTCGCATTGCTCGTATGCGAACAATGGGTGCGCTGGGGTCATGTGTTGTGTGCCATATGGAGTTCCCTATAAAACTGCAAGTGGACGCAACCCTGTGGTGGTTCATGAGCAGAAGCGCAACAGCAAGTCGCAGCCAAATTTTAGCTGCGTTGGCTTGGTTGCCGTTAGTCTGAAGCACTGTCTGTGCTGCTCCCGGAAGTGGAAGTGCTAGCCCACTGTCTTGGCAGGAGCAGCCCCGTTGGCCAGCCATGTGCGGAAGCGGGCTGAGAGGTCCATGAACTTTCGCGAAACTTTCGCGGATCTTGCGCCAAACATTGGTGGAAATGTGGCTGACAAGTTGGATTCATCCGCGGGCCCAAAGGGGCCCTCAACACTTTAGCAACGTTACACGGGGCACTGTCCCATATGTGCGGCGGTCAAAACATGTGTTGTGGTTGGCTGTCATGGCTGGCTGGGGTGTCGCTCTTCAAGGCCCCCTGTCGCTGCACACAGGCCCCCTGTCAGCAAGTCCGCTCGCATGAAAACCACATACCCAATCCCATATGTCCGAGGTCCTATAAGACCAGTGATTCACGTAATGCACGAAAAACTTTCGCGAAAAAAATTTTTACTTTCGCGAAGTCCATCGCGGAGCTTTCGCGGGGGATCATGGATGGTACCAAATGGTCGTCCCCTTCATATTGTAAAGCAAGGACCTTTAGATCAACTCTCACATGAGTTACCTTGCTTCGCCAGCCCGGACAAAGAAAAATGCCGGTTTCTCAGGAAAGTAGCCAGCTAAGCTTCAGGGCTGCAAGTGATATGTGCGGGTTCAAATGCAAGTAGACATGCACAAAAGACACACACACAGATACACACACACACACACACAAACACACACACACACACAAACACACACACACACACACACACACACACACACACACACACACACACACACACGCATGGTCATAGCTCTTTCCAATATCCTCCAATTGAATGGCTCTCATAGCCCTTCCCTCTCCCCGCCCTTGCGCAATGAGCGGCTGTGTGTAGTAATGCACTCGTAGCGCATCGAAGGATTTCCACATTGGGGAGCCGTAGTATTTGCAAACCCCGCAGCCTCGGGGCAGGAAATGGCACCAGCTGGCTGGCAACGGGGAATTCTGTGCTCAGACAGCCGTGTGTTGATGGGCTTGTCTTACTGCCCACGTCTGGCCCCCAGAAAAATGCAGCCAGCTTCCCCAAACTGTCTGAGCAGTTACCAAACTTGTGCTTGCGACAGCTGCATAGCTATATCAAAACACGGGGACCCTCAAAAAAGCTGGCTGTCTTTTTGGTGTCCCTTTAAATCAACTTGAAAAGGGTAGATAGAGGTGTTTCGCAAAGCTGCCAACATCCCCGGCATCACCAACATCACTTGGACCTGGGGTGGTTGGGTGGCAGTTGGGAGTTGCTGGGGGCTGGCTTAAGTTAGGGGGTTTTGGCTGGCTTAGATCTTCATGAGGGTGGGTCTTGGGGTGGTTTGGGGTTGATTTAGGCGAAGGAAGGGCTGACATCTAGGCTGCTGTTGGAATCAGAGCCACCCCTGGTCCAAGTGATGCTGGTGATGCCGGGGATGCGGCCAGCCAACCAACCAACCAACCAACCAACCCGTCACCAGACCTAATAAAATAAAAAAAACACTCCCTCCAAAAGGGTATATCCTCAACAAAAATGGCAAACTTGACTGCATGTTCATGGTGGATCCCAGTAATCCAGCGCTCCCTATATTTCCCCCTCAAACATCATCCCAATGGAGAACTTGGCGTTTAGAAACACCAAAAGGGGAGATGAAGGGGAACCAAATCATAGGTCCTTTTGGTAAAATAAACAGCCCTGGTGTATGGAACAAAACCCGAATCTAAACCAGTGCAATCTATGTCTAATCAACCTAGCCGAGCCAAAGGACGCCTGTGAACCCTAGACGAACCGCTTCCGCAACCCGAAACCGCGCAAACAAAAAGCGTTCGAGACAGCCTGAGGCAACGGCCCAGCATCTTCCGGAACGCGAAGAAACCTGGGAGCCGCGAAAGCGATGCCTCGAGCGTGGTATCCCACGGTCAATCCTCTCGAGGCGAAAGAGTCGTCGTGATTCCCATAGAAAACTCTACACTGACTTGCAATACAAAACCGATAAAAGCCCATTGATGCAGACAACTCCTTTGACCATGGCACAAATTTGAGCATGACGGCAGTACTGCTCTGGCCAAATAAACCTCAACTCTGTAAAGGCATGAGTCCGGATCTGTCAGTCATATACTTAAATGCTCAACAACATCTTACGTACTCCACCGGTCGCCCATTGGATAAGACACTGGAAATACAAACCAGCAAGGCTCAGGGACTGACGTAGAGTGGGATGGGGAACAAAGATATGCTAGCCGCCCACATGTCTCCTGCCTTCGCAATCTTTCCTAATCCTTGCCAATTTGTCTCCGCTAAATGGACTCTGAGCTGGCAAAGGACCTGGCAAATTATCAAGTACAATCAACCGGCTGAGCTGGCCACTCGGCAAAACAGAGAAGAGTCAACAGTCCTTTGTAATTGTATGCGTACATTGGGTTGTTCAACAGTGGATGTGGATGTGTGGACCAATTACAAGCTCCAAAAATAAAGAGGTGACTGTGAGTGGTCAGAGAGAACTGTTGATGATCCAACCCACCCCGCGCTCCGACGCATCCAAGGCACGCACCACAACCAAGGCTTGCCTGCCGGCAAAAGCGAACAGCTTGCACACAGCTCGCAAATGCATGGAACCTAGGAGGCCTACGACTGAAGAGGAAGAACGCAATCAATAAATCAATAAATCAATCAATCAATCAATCAAGCAAGCAAGCAAGCAAGCAATCAATAAATCAATTTATGTAAGAAGTATATATCCAACAAACACAAGTACACAGAAAACACGCCCCATCCGCCGCAGGAGTTCAAGGCAGCCCTCATGGACGGCTCTG